CAGAGTGGAAGTAGTCCCCAGAGAGTTTTGTGCCTCTCTGGGCCTGCACTCTGAAACAAGGATTTATAAGTAGTTTCGTTCCTGACATGGGTGAGTATATAGGGCATTCGAAGCCTGGGCAATAAATAATAAACACAATATGATCTCCCAGTACAATTTTATCCATGTTATTGTACGTGGGGCAGCTCGAGAAACTGCGACGATTCTCAAGGGATCTCTATCAGTTTTCAGATCCCATCTCACATGTGTACCGCCTCGCGCACGGCGTGCGGGGCGGGGCCGGGGGCGGGCGCGGGGGCGGAGGAAGTTACGCGGGGCTGTGCGGGGCGGAGCCTCGGCCCCGACGCGATCGGCGGCCCTACCGACCAATGGCAGTGGTGAGCTTCAGCTAACAAAGAAACCCCTCGGCCAATGGGAGTCAGGGGCGGGACCAAGGGCTGCCGGCGTCAGGTAACTGGTAGGCGGGGAAGGTGGGGCGCCGCGAGGGGACGTCAGGTTTGGTGGACGGGCGCCGAGGGGGCACTGACAGCTGCGGGGGCGGAGCCCGGGGGGAAGGGGCGGGCTCCCTGCAAACCTCTCACTGCCAACAGCGCCTTCCAGAGCCTGTCTCGACACCGGAGCCCAGCCTGGACCTACTATGTGCCAGCCCTACCTCCCTCCATCATAGAACTCATAGGCAGCATTCCGAGTGTTTGATAACAGGCACAGAGAAGTTATGAAATAGAAGGTAGGGTTTCAAGGGATGACTAAGAGAAGATGTCAGCCTCCTAGAGCTGTCAGTTCTATTATGGGAGACTAGTAAAGGCTGACTGTATGCCAGACACTAAACTAGGAATTCTCATCCCCATGATGTGCTTGAGGTAAGGCTCAAGCCCGACTCAATTTGTGCAGCCTCCTGGCCAAAAGACCACCTGGAGAAGAATGGAAAAGAGGCACCGGCAGAAGATGCAGGAGCCCAGAGAGGGGGAAATGCACTCCTTGGGGAAATAGGGGCCTTCAGGGCGGTAGGGAAGTTTGAGCAGATGGCCAGAGGTTGAGGAGGAAGGAGCAGGACAGACATGAGGGCCAGGCCACCCAGGACCTTGGGTCCAGGCTCAGGCGTATATATGTCATCATGCGGCAGCCAGGAGTCAACTATCTGAGTCTTCAAACAGGGGAGTGAGCTAACTCAACGCTCACAGAAGAGGTGAGGCTGAAACGTGTATTAGCGGCAGGGACAGCAGCTGCTGCTTAGGGAATGGGAAGGTTCTGGGAGCGAGAAGTAGCACATGCTCCCAGAGCTGTGTACCTTTCCACTGATCATCTGGTGACCCTCGATCCTAGGGAGGGAGATTTCAATACAGTAAGAAATACTTTCCTAAAGGAAGGTGGGCCAGGGTCCCCCAGCTTTAGGGAGAACGCGCAGCTCTACCCCTCACTAGCTCTGCGGCCTTAGGTAAGTCCCTTCATGCCGACTGCCTCAGTTACCTCATCTACACAATTGGCATGATTGTATGGTTGTTGTGAGCATTACATGATTAATGCTGTAAAATATTGAGCATAATGTGGCAAAATGTTAATTTGTGAATCTAGACAAAGGGTATGTAGTGTACCATTCTTGCAACTTTCCTATTGGTTTAAATTTTTGCAAAGTAAGTGTGGGAGGGGAGGGGGAGACAGACAATTCTTGCTTGTATTAGAATACCCCAGAAAACTGATACCAAATGGTTGCCTCTGGGGAGGGGAGCTGGGTGGTTTGAGAGGCGACCTACTTTTAATTTTCACTGTAAGCCCTTTTGTTCTCTTTGGATTTGATATTGTGTGAATGTACAACTTGTTTGAAAAGAATTTCTGAAAGTCCTACCATGCCTCAAGGCCAACTCCATGGCCACTTCCCTTAAGAAAATGCTTGGCATGTTCTGCTCAGGTCCCTGGACACAGGCAGCACCTGCCCTGCCAGGAGGGTCCACCGCTGGGGGCACACAGAAGCATTCGAGTCACGCCTGCCTGGAAGGAGCTCACAGTTAAGCAAGTGGAGAAACAGGAGACCGACAGACAGATGCAATCCAGGGAGCTATGGAGGTGCCTACAAAGGCACCCAGCTGCATCTGCAGCTTCAGGGACAGCTCCTTGCAGGAGGCAGGGCCTAGGCTGAGTCTTGAGCTGACTAAGACCCAGCCAGGAGGAGGTAGAGACAGAAGGAGCTCAGGGTTGAAGCTCAGGGTCTTGAAAGCAATGGGTGTGTCCATGAGTACAAGCACCGTGATATTACTGGGTAGCTCAGAGAGATGAGAGTAACAGCAATGAGGATTATTGGGAGGATTAAATAGATGTGCATGTGGAGGTTTAGCATATGCGTATGAATACCTATTATGACAGATTGGAGTTCAGCCTCTTCAGGGAGATCGGTGTTGTTGTTGTATAATTATTTTTTATCTCCATTTTACAGAAAACAAACATGAGGCTCAGGGTATTTAAAGAGCTTGTCTGTGGTCAGAATATAGACCCTCTGAGTGAGGAGTCAAGCCCGGCAGGCTGACATCAGAGTTGCCTGGGCAATGGAGAGCCATTAGCTCAAAATTTTAGATAAAAATAAGGGCTGTTTGTCTGGAGGATGAATCAGAGGCAGAGGACTGGAAACATTATCCATCAGGAAACTACTACATTAGCCCAGGAAGTAGAGACGGCAGGGACCTGAACTAAGATAGGGCCAATGGGAGAAGAAGATGATGAATTTGGGAAATATTTATTTTAGGAGATAGAATAAGTATATTTAATCTCTCACTGTGCTACATTCCAAAACTTGACTGTGAGCACCATGACAGCAGGACTGGATCCGGGTCCCTGCTGCAGGTCTAGTGCCTAATTCAGTGCCTGGCACAGGGTAGGTGCTCAAAAGTGAATTAATGACCATTTACTGTTCTTTTATTGTCATATCTCCCACCCAGATTATAAAACCCAGGCAAACAGGGTTCCAGGGGCCTAGAACAGCACTAAGCACAAGGGCAAAGAGTGTAAACAGGTGAGCATCCACTGGGCTGGACACTTAAGATGTGCTCACTTTATTGCGTATCTCAATGTATAATGTGCATCTCAAGGAAAAATAAACAAACATGCAAAGGCCTCTCAAGTGGGCCCCAATGCAGGTAAATTCTTCTCTGTGCACCTGGCAGCTGCCCTGGGAAGTGTCCTTGCATCCTGTGAGGGAGCAGAGCTTGCACACACACACACACACACACACACACACACACACGTGCATGCGAGTGCACTCACAGATACCCACTCTCACATGCAGCTGTAGAACTCCCACACACATATACACAGGCACACACCCACAGAAGGTAGCCACTGTTTGATCTCTATCACCACCCTGGTCCCTAAATGAGAACTCCAAATCCTTGCAGTTTGGTCCAAAAAGCACTGTCCTGGTTGGTCAGAATGGAGCCACTCTGATTGGTTGGTGAAGATGCTCATGAGGCTATTAGAGTAGTGCAGCTCCGATTGGACAGGGGAAATTTCAGCCCTGTTGGTTGAAATACTATCCCAGGAACTCCTCTACAAGGCTGGCTCAGACCTCCTCACGAACACAGTGCGGGCCTGCAGTCCCATGCAGGCTTTCCCCTGAAGTGTGGCTTGCATGCGGAGCTGCTACGCTCTGTTTTTAAATTTGAACCCAGTCAGCCACCAGGAGCCCAATCAACTCACAGAACAGCGGTCAAGCTGCTATTTTAAGGAGGAGTGGGTGTTTTATGCAGCAAAGCTACCTGAGAAGGGGCCTTAATGGGTACATTGATTCTTGGGTCAACGTGTTGTTCAATAAATAGGAAACTGCCAACAGGTCTCCCAACCGGAGAGCTGGGTCCTCCTCTCCCCCTTTCTCTTCTAATCTATATATAC